TCACGCATTCATATCCCTACAATAGCCTGAGTCAAAGAAAGTCATGGGCAAATCGTTCTAGGCGATGACGAAGCTTCATGGAAAACCCCAAAGTCAAGACATTCCCAAAGTCTCTGACCGATAAGAGATCCCCAACATCATCACAGAAAGGCGGAATTTGCCGGACAAGAATAAAATGAAAATGAAAATGAAAATGAAAAAGCACAGAACTGAGAAAACTCGAAAGAATAGGGCTGGGCTATGGGTAGAAAAATCTCAACCAACTTGTGTGTAAACAAAAGAATGTAAAAATTAAAAGTGAGCAGTGAAAAGGGATGAACAATGCAGAGCTGAGTGAAAATAGGGGCTCGAGGGGTGCAAACAAAAGATAAACGGGCGCACTGGAAATTCCAGAATTTAAAACGAACAACACCCAAAGGTTGAACTTGAAATATTTCGTGGGCCAAAGAGGGCAACACATGCACACACCTACACATACAGAGATACACGTGCAGAGCTTTAATTATGTGCGAAGCGAAAAGTTGCTGCTGTCTGTATCTTTGAGATACTTTCAACGCACTTTTGTGCTCTGCTCTGCTCTGCTCGGCACAAAGCGAACTCCTCTCGCAGACACGTTTCGTTTGTTGTTGGCCAAATGATGTGCTCCGCTTTCAGCTGGCTGGCTGTGGCCATGCGGCTCTGCGGCTGAGCAACTGCCAGTAAAGACAAACAATATGTAGCAGTTCGCAAACAAAGATACACCCCAGCCCAGCCCAGCCCAGCCCATACCTCCCATCCCATCCCATCCCATCCCATAAATATATGTATACGAACATGTCTCTGTATTTTTTTGTGTTTTGCCAAATTAGCAACAACCGGTTTACGCAGGTACTCTGGGCCGAAAGAGAGAGAAAGACAGAAAGAGAGTAAGAGAGGAGCGGTAACAAGCCAAAGGCAAACAAAAGCCGTTTTGCTCATTAGTCGTCTCTGCGAATGCCTCTGAGTGAGAACGCCGCACAGCCAAACACTTTTTTTGTCGTCACTTTGGTTGATATCAGTGGGAGATGAGATACTGTGCTGTAGTGTGGTGGGAGATGAGATGAGGCGAGAGTGAAGGCCATGAGAGCTTCCGATGTACGAATCGCGTATAGCGACTGACTGCTGACAACACACAACCCACGACTCGAATACGTCGAAAGACGAGTACGGAAAGAGCTGCCAGTGGCAGTTCCAGTGCCTGTCGGCAGTGGGGCAACAAGTGAACTAGAGCAAGCCGCTTACTTATAAGATGTCCTCTGTCTGGGGCCCTGCCATCAAAATGTAGGTAAATCTGGCACTGGCACTGGCACTGGGATTGTGTCTGAAATAGGGTGTTGGGACAATTCCAGTTTCTGATTTCTGGTCCAGTTTGGGTGCACTTATATACACGCGCCATTAAACGAGTTTATCTGGCTAAATGGGTTTTTTTCTGTTATCCATCTACGCGTTTGCATGCCGTTGTTCCGATCAATGGCAACTCCGATATGGAATCCACATGTAGATACGAAGCGTAATGACTTTCTACAATTGTTAATTTGTTGACGCCTGGGAAATGGCAACAAGCTCTTCATTGTATTTGTTTATTGTTTAGCCTCCCCATGAGACTTGAACAGGCCTTCGCCTTCAATCGGCGCTGTTAAGTCTCTGGGGATCCACTGGACTTGTCGTTGACGTAAATTGGCTTATCTTTAGTTTTACTGGTCACGCAACAAAATTCAAGAATTTTCGTCCTTAACTCAATTTTAGGGATTCCCTAGAGTTCACGGTTATCTTGAAATGTATTCAATTGATGCTGCATTTTTAGTTGCCTGATAACCTCTTATGTATATTTTTATAATAAATGTATTTAAATACATATATTTCTGGATTTCCCTGATTGAATGTGCCGCAGGTCAACTTTTCGTTGTACATATGAATAAATAAATTATTTTTTGTTATCTATTTTGCCATTTTTATTTGTAAAAGTCGGAGGTTATCTTTCAGACTTGTTTTCAATTAAATTGAATTGAATTTCCATAAATATGTATTTTTGCAGTAGAAATTGTAATGTGTGCACACATAACATAACCATTTAGGTATAATCGTTTTCATTTATGCAAATCTGTATATAGACTTCAATTCAAAAAGATGTCCAGCAGTGAATCATGGGTATATGCAAACAAACTATTATTAGTCTTGCAAACAAAAATTCTATAAAATCGAAATTTTATGCAAATCAGCAGAAAACGAAAAGTAAATAAAGAAATAATGTGAAAAATGTGAGTATCATGCCACAGCAGAGGGGGGGGCAGAGAGGGAACGATAGAGAGAATGAGAGAGAGAGAAGACATCAACATGGATTAATTGCAGTTTTTATGTGGAAATATGTTGCACTGGCAAAAAGCTGCAAGCCGTGTGGAAGGCCAACTGGTCGACAATCAGCTGGGTTGGGGTTGGGTGTTTGGTGTTGCCAGCGCAATAAACCAATTAGGAGCTATGGGCTAAGAGCTGAGAGCCCATTAGGCAGATTGCGATGCCCGAGACCCGATGAGCATGAAAATGCATTGAAAGAGGAATCGGAGTCGGAGTCGGAGTCACGACCAAGCAAATGTCACAGTCGATAAGACCCGCCAGTTACCCGAGTAGTAGTGGAGCTCGTAGCTCGTATCTACTGGGGGCTCAGACTTACCTACACTAAAGATACGAGTATTTATATCTGTTTGCGCGTGCTACGCTCTGTGAAGCTTCCCGCTCTTTGTATCTTTGGATCTCTGAATCGATATTTTACTATACAATTCCAGCAGTTTGAACAGTTCTTGTTTACGTTTAATGGTGCTTCTCTTCTTCCTTTTACTTTCAACAATTAAATACAATAAAATTCACATTCAATTGGCCTAAGGCCTCTTTCGGTTTGCCTGCGCGTTTTTATTTTTTTTGGCGCGATATATGCGTGCTTATATGTATCCAATCCGCAAGTAACATACATATGAATGTACATACATATGTATATGTGGTATGTATAAAGTACCGAGCTCTTTGTTTGTGGTTGTCGTGTTTATCGGGCTCACGTTTACTCGTTTTTCGCTTTTTTAATTTTCTTTTCTTTTATTTTTTATTCTTATATTACTTTTTATTGTTGCTGCTGTTTTATGTATTTCTCGGGTATCGGCGACGAGGCAGTGCTTGCCGACGGATTCTTGAATTTACACTGAACAGATCTCTCATGGGTAAATCTTTATAAACTGGCCGTCATAGAGAGCGAGAGAGGCAGCCACGACAAAGAGAGGTGTCTGTCTCTCGCATTTTTCTCTCCCAAAATGCGGGAGCGGAGCTCAACAATACATACTGATGTATGTGCATAAAAATACAATTTATTCATTGGCAGACTGTCAGACACTTTTTGCTTGGCCCAGAGCAAAGTCTCTTTTGGTACGTCATGATCATAGTCAGAGGGGGGCGAACTCTTTGCCCAGAATGGGCCGAATCATTCTCCAGGGAACAACAATTAAGGTTTCCCAGTTTGCCAGTCGCCGACAACCACAGAGCATTCCTGGCGAGAGAATGAATCATTTTGGGAAACTGGGAATGCACTTTATGCTCCGCCGACGATGGCCACATAAGGGAAAAGTCTGCCTCTGGCAGAGTCAACAGATGGCTCTGGTTCTAATTAGGAGGAGCACGGTTCGATTGCACTGAGCATTTATGTAGATGCATCTGCAGAGCTCGACTAATTTGAAACGTTTTGAGTCAGATACAGAAAACACAGAGCCAGCCCCTCCTGTAGGCACGACAAAAAAAACACACAAATCAGGGCCTTCAAGTACGAGTATGTCACGTTTTGCATGAATTTACGGACACAGATACGGACAGACAATGACGAATGCTAATTGCACTTTCCGCCATCAAAAGGCCCATTAAACGGGCCCTGTTCAAACGATTCTGGAGTTTTCCCATTCGCTAATATAAAAGAATCATTAGCATCGCGAAAATGAAGGCGCGTCTGTTCAAACGACCAATGAAAGCGCAATTGCAAATGAACAAACTTGACTGTGCTGTTTAAACTCAACCATTTCAAGAATTTACGATGCCATAAGTACTTACGTCCGCCTCTCCAGCAGATATTTCAGATAATTCCTTTGAGGATCCAAAAAGCACTTAATTTTCCGAATTTAAAATTCTTTTCCAATGCCAAAACCGTTTTTAAAAGCACGCAGAGCGAAATACATTTTTGATTATTCCCAAAAGTATCACGAAATTATATCGAATTTAAAGAGCATATCCAAATGAAATTTTGATAAATGTAAATTGACTTTTTAAGCAAATGCATCTGGCTGTTTTTCGAAAAATAATTTGAGAAACAAACCGTCCACAGATCCCAATTGAAAATAATGAAAATGCACCGTCACCAAATATTGGTTTAGGAGTTCTAGTTTGTAGTTCTAAGATATAATTATTTTTAATTTAGTTGGTAAAAAAATTAAACCATTATCCTATTCAGCTTGTGGGTTTCAGCAGCATCGGTTGAAAGACAAACAAGGAAATACTTTTATTAGGAATGTGTTTATGTTTTATGTCGAAACCCGAAAAAGGGATGCAACTACAGCCACTCAATCAAATTTCATTACAAGCAGAACGTTTCTGCTTGCTGCCGTGGTGGTGTGCGTAGAGGTGGTGTAACCGCGAACGACAAGTCCATGGTTCGATTCCCAGCGTGGACAAACAATTTGTCAAAGAAGAAGAAATATATTTTTAATTAGTTTTCACGCTCGTTGCGATGCGATCTCATCATGGCATAATAGTTTGACTTTCCCATAGCCGAACAATTTCCGCATGAATCGCAGATTATTACACATGGTTAATGCGCGTATCTACTGACATTTCCAATCATGAGTGACAGTGTTTCGTGCAATTTCCGCACAATTTTTATTTTACAAACCAGCAATATGAAATTTAATCCGACAATTGTTTAAATTAAAATATTTTCAATTACCGTCCGCCCACAGCAACCACAAATTTTGTTGGGAAATTCACACAGAGCGTGCGGCGGATCGTTCAGGATGTGAAGGACGAGGGCGCGCCGAGTGGAATGACACGGGACGAGGTAATCGAAACGAATGAAAGGCTGCGCTCGCTCCGACTACGATTGGAGGAGTCCTACGAAACGGCCAAGAAGGCGCTCATTAACCTCATGAACAAATACGGCGACTCCAAGAGCCAGCGCAACATGTTCCAACGCTATCCCATGCTCAAGTTGATGATTAAGGTTGGTACACTGAAAGTCCAAGCACTCCAGGGGAGCCTGAACAGAATCTTTAATACTTCCCTACAGGAAGTCATTCGCCTGGAGACCCAGTACTGGACCCTGGTGGACATACCGCGACAGGAGAAGCAGGAGACTGTGCCCTCGTACGTGATGCGCGCCTGCTCGATCATGGAGAAGACCCAGAAGTCAGGTGAGGGTGTGAAAACCTCGGCAAAACTAGCTGACGAGGCGGCCGAGCGGCGGGAGCGGATGGAGCGATTGGAACGTAAGTGAAATGAACTGGAAGCTTCCACACACTTCCAATTAACTGCATTCGCATCCGGTCTATCCACAGACATGACGACGGCTCAAATCGAACTCGAGAACACGCAGCTGATAAACGATTTGTATCGCTTGCTGAAAAAGTATCTGGGCCTGCGGCATCTCATCCGAGTACTAAAGGTAGGCGAAACGGAAACTGTCCGACCCCGTGTCGGTGGCAACTTTCCCCTTTATCTAACCGTGTGCTTCTGTGTGACCAAACAGGAAGAGTACGGCAGCTCAAAGATGTATCCGATATTTCCACGCTACACAATGCTCAAGGACATGATAAAGGGCATCATGCACGACCCCGACTACATGGAGGTGTGTCACGAAACACTGGCCAACGCCAACTGAGCCGAGGCCACCGGAAATGGCAGGCGTCGCATGAGTGTCATTTGAGAGGGGCCCAAAACTAATACAAACACAAACAGCAGCATACACAGGCGCAGGACCTAGAGGGAGTTGGATGGAGTCTCAGTACTGATCCGTGTGTATGCTGAATTCGCATGCGAGTTTCTGCCATTCCGGGACGATTTAGAAACTGTTAAAGCAACTTCCTTGAGGCTCCTCGGCCGCGAGTGTGCGGGCGAGTGAGCAAAACCAATCCTTTTCGGTAATTTTAGCCCATACTCAAAGGCAAACCAAGACAAACTAATCAAAAAACTAACTAACAAACTACACCCGAACCCGAACTACACCCACCACCTACCAACTAACACCACTGAACCACCAACTGAACATGTAACTATTTACACTACTCAACAAAGAACAAACACTTTAATACTCTCCGGCACCAGAGTGCCAGCAAACAAACTAAAAGGCATTTATTTTAATGAACTTTCGAGGATAAATACATACAAACTAAAACAAAACAAAAACCTACAGGATGCCAAAACATCCGACAACATAGATACATATTTGAAATGATGAATAATTGAAAGAATCGCCCAAGATGTTACACGATGAACAGCAAAAGCCTAACCGAAATATTTGTGTAACTTTTAAGCGGAATATAATATTTGTGCCCCCTAACCTATGTGTATAATAAGCATGATATGTGTATGTAAATGTGAAATAATCAAACTAACTACAGCAACAGTTGATTGGGAGCATGGATTGAAGGCTGGCTAATCAATTCCAAATAGATTAAATCTTTGGTTCGAACTAGTTGATTAGCCGCTAGCAGAATTTTGAACATTGTAGCTACAAAAATGTATTTAATTATATTATACGATTCCTATCCCTAGTTGTATGTATGTATTACTTACCTAGTTAGACAATATGCGGGAAATATTCCCAATTGATGTGAGCGGGTGCGATAGCTCGTTACACCTTTTAAGGAAACACCAATCTGTGGCGAAGCGGAGCAGCCAATATCCTAGAACTAAACGAATGTTAACCTCCTGATTTTCGCCGAATATATTTAGTGACAAGCAAATGCTTTAAGTGTGTGTGTATCAAACGTTCAGCTTTAAATCAGTCCTATGCAACTAGCAACCCAGATACAATTACACAAAGTACTCGTACATACTCGTACGATATGTACATATATCCACATTGCTGGCATTGCTTAATGTGAGCGTGTATGTATTTATATATGTGTTGTTGTAACTAGCATATGTATATGTAGCTTTGTAACACAATCCACAATCCCTAGCCAACCGAAGGACACAACGCAAACACTCGAACACAAAAGACCAAAGAAAAACCTAGACGAGCTTACAACTTTATACGAGAGAGCTAGCAATTCACAAAATCCCAATTTCCATTTTCATTTTCCTATATTTTATTATTTAGAGATGAAATCTATTTTATTTACTCGCACAGAAGAAGCAAAGTGTAAATTACACAAAGCTCGCCATGAACTGACACAAGCAGCAACTAGCAGAAGGAGATTTTCTTTTGGCAGAACTACAACTAAAAACTACAACTACGATTCTGACACGCCCACCGATACACCGAGGATAAACCTAGCAATTTATACACACATATCTGTACAGTACACAAGAGTATGTATATCAGAGTATTACAGAATATCAGAGATGGACTATTCCTTCTCAATTGAAGTGAAATTGAGTGCATAAATTAGTGGAACAATTGTTTGCGTGTCTATTATACGCTTCACGGAGCTCAATTGCTGGTTAATTTATCCACTTTGTGACGGGGCATCCTTTTAATGACCTCCAAATGCTTTCAATTGCTTTAAAATATCCCAGCCCTGCCCCAGCGGCCTTTCGGGTCGGAAGTGTGAGGCTGCTGACCACAGACAGACAGCCAGTAAAACTAATTATGAAAAGTAAATCAAAATAGATACATAATACATAATGTTGGGAAAAATAGCAAATTAATTAATTATGCAGAACACCATACTAACTCAATTTCAATTAGATGGTTGAGCTCTGTTGTTTGTGTAGCTAAGTGTTGAGCATTCAATTTTGGATTTTGATAATAGCTAATGCAATTGCGAATGGAGATAAATATGCATCAAAAGGGCAAGTGTTATATTGTATGCTTCTTGATAAAAATATATATTACAAAATAACAAGTAAATGAATACACTATATACATACATGTAATGTGAAGCAGATCAGGAAATAATGTTATGAAACTTAATCAAAATCTATTAACAAATATTTGTACGGCTCTCCACAGCCCTGTGTATGTGTGTTCGTGCGTGAATGTTACCATTGTAAGCGCATTGCAATATAGGATATAGAGACAACAATCGGGGCGATATTGATATTAATATTGATATTAATGCATACCTACAGAGACATACATATGAACTATAGTTATATACATACATATATGATAATGGTATTCGTATTATTATACAACTTATACACGAGATACAAAACATATACACTTCTACTCCACTGCATACCCAAAATGGGGGATAACGATACATGGGCAGTACATGGGTAGTCCCAGTCCTACAAACCAAGAAAACAAACTTCGTACAATTTTACCTTTTCAACATCTCAGTGTCTAACAAAAGCATTAAATGTAACTCCTCAAAAAGGAAGCTACCAATATATTGAATGTATAATTAAATATATTTGTGTCGAGACACAGCTATAATATGAGCCAGTCGATAAATATATTGATATTCAAACGGATACAACTTTGGTTTCTATTCTCAAACAGTTTAACAGTTGGTCCAGAGTTATATCATGAAAAGGAATGGAACTCTGTTGATCAAATATTTCCACCAATTACTGAATTATGTGTACCTAATTTATGGCCGATAAGTATTGCTTGGGTGATTTTTAGTTGGCCAAGTATGAATATTTTTGTAGGTTTGTTAATTTGGTTTATCGTCTCAAGCAAACAAACATCTGCTGGCCGCTGTTAGATTTTATGGAACAAATAACTTTAACGATAAATTAATCAATTTCCTTTCGATTCGTTCACTCTTATATAAGTAGTTTATTTGCCATCTGTTTAAAAAAATGTTTAAGATTTGAGAAATAAAAATGTATTTCAAATGAATTCTGTATTGACATCTACAGACTTGACATGATGTTAAATATCTACGTGGTTTCTACGTTAAATGTAAATTAACAGATTCGAAAAGCTCTGTTAACAGAGCCAAAAAGCTCTTCTCTTCTGCTATTTTAACAGAGTCTGAGTTTTACTTACATGTTGCCGATATTTACATTCATAGTATGTCGTGAATGAAGCTTTTCTCTTAGATTGCTCCCCAACTTAAAGCTTGCAAGCGAAGAAAAGAACAAACATAATTTCCCAGAAAGTTTAATCGGTCGGCAAACATTAGAAGCCGAGAAAATGTTATAAACTAAGTAACGCTGCCAATGCCTGAGGTATTACTTCTTGGCATGATTTGGAAGTTTGCCTGCTGCCTCAGCCTCGGAGGGATCCTCGGGAAGCGAGTCCACGGATATGGAAGAGCCCTTTGACTTTGAGCTGGCCATAGAGCGCGAAGAGTTCTTTGGGTACTTGACGGCTTTGGTATTTCCAGAGCATTGTATAATGAAGCGAATCTCGTCTAGCAGTTCGCTCTTGAAGTTCACCTGGGAAGTAGATGTAAATCGATGAAAGTAACGAGCAAAAGTTCAGGCAGAATGGCAGAATTAAACCGGTTTAAGGGGCATGCAATCGGCTGAACTATCCACAAGCAAAAAGTATTAAGTTGTCGAAGAATGGATTAGAATAGTATATTGAAGAGATGAGAGGTCAGTTGTATGGCTCCGAGTTGTCGCTGTGGGGAGCTGATGAAACATATCCGTTATTCGTTATTCAGATGAAAGGCGACCTTTTCATGGCCATTTTTAGTCACGACACATACACCATTAGGGCAGGTGTTAATATTTTTAGAGTGCCGCCCCGTTTACCTTGTTCTCTCGCGCACTCCAGTAGATGCTGACCACGCAGTTAACCAGGCCGTAAAGGCTGCCAAAGCAGCTGCCCACGAACATGACCAGATAGACGCCGCCCAAATTGGCAAAGCCCAGCGAGGAGGCATCCGAATCGGCTTCCTCCTACAGAGTTTTCAGTGCAGAATGGCGTCGAATATTGCGATAAAAATATAGGAAAATGCGTGTGTGTGTGTGTGTGTGCGTTGGTGTGCACTACGGGCAGGAGTGAAAACTAATCGGACTGAAGGTCAGGATTCTATTGGTACATATCCATGTCGATACCTTGTTGTCGTCGCTGCGCTCTTTCACACCGAGCACCATCTCGAGCAGGGAGACAAAGATGCCAAAGAAGGAGCCCACGCCCATCACCAGGAAGACGCCACCCAAATTGCTTATCTCCAGGGCCACGGCGCCGGCATCGTCATCCGAGTCCTGCACACACACTCACACATGGACACTGACCCACACGAGCTGGCCAAGACTGATTCAGACACTTACCGAACAGGCACCCCCGCCGCGCTTCTCCTTCCACCATTTGGTCTTCATTTTGGTCAACAGTCCCTGCTCCTGCATCTCCAGTATGGCCTGGCTGAGAATGTCGCGATATGGCCAGTCTGTGAAAAGAATTCGATTAGTTGCAGCCCCGCCGACACCTGACAATGGGGATGAACTACTCTTCCTCATGGCTATGCCGTAGCCCTTCTCGTCCAGCAGCGCTCCCACCTGGGTCAAAGTGCAGCGTCGCTCAGTGATGTACTCGATGGTGGTGGACTCCATGAGGAAGGCATAGTTGCTGTTCTCCACCCGATCGACGCCCTCTTGATTGGAGTTTGTCATGTATTGAGGATTGTCAGTCAGGAACTGGTACATCTTTTGATAGGTTGGATAGTTGGATTCCTATAAAAATAAATTAAACTCTCCTAAGACTCTTCTTAACTATGCTTTTTCCAATTTCCACTCACTTTAAAAAAGGTAAAGGTGCTGCCACCATTCTTGGCGCCATAGTTCACGCCGCCCTTGTTCTTTGACAAATCGTCAACATCATTAATTGGCGTCACCAGGGACTCCACAGTGAGGAAAGCTGCCAGATTGGCCGTATACGATGACACCAGAATCAGAGTAAAGAACCACCAGGCGGCGGCCACAGTTCGAGTCGAATACGCCCTGAAAGAAAGGCCAGAAAGAAGGCAGTTAAATAGTTTGGGACTTCCATGCACTCTCAAATTTTCATGAAATTAACTTGAAAACTGAAATGCCAAATACTCACTTGGGCGCCAGTTCGGAGCCCTGCTGAAGCAGAGCGCCCACCGAGAACCACAGGCAATTGGGAAAACTGAACTGATTCTCCAGCTCCGTGGGCTCCTCAATGCAGGGATACGGATTGTCCCATTCGGCCGGCGACAGGCGGCCCAGCACGAACATACTTATGGACACACCCATGTAGGCCAGACCCAGCCAGAGCCAGACCTCGCCCGAAAATGGCGACATGAAGGAGAATAATTTCGGTGGCTCCTTCATTGGCTTGCGAAACAGAATTCCGATGCCTGAAAGTGGCAATCATTAGCAGACTTCCCCCGTAAAAACAGTTCCCACAGCACTTACCCAGACTCATAAAGGGTATTGTAAAGTCGACGCCGCTCTCCCGCTCTGATGTCATGGTCAGGTCGGTAATGCCCATGTCAGCGCGCTAATCAAATATGAAAAATTATTTAATCTCCTCCGAACATGTGTGTGTACACGTATGTGAGTGTATACTCGTAAATATATTATGCATTTCGCAAATGTAAATAGAAATGCATATGTAAACATTGTCGTGTGCGCTCAGTCGCACATTCTGATGGGGCAATCTGTCAATTATGCATTTTAATTTTAATTTATTTCTGCCGAAGTAAGCCCAGCACAAAATTCCTCGTAATTGTGATAGGGCTGCTGGGGCTCTTCTGTGCTGACACCAGTGTCAGCAGTGATAGTGATTGCCAATTTGTAAAAATAAACCAATCAAAATGTAGCTTCTTCTCCTGATAAGACTGCCTTTAAAAGCCTTACTACTGTGGCATTAAATTGCAGTTTACTCAAACAATCCAAGAGGAAAGCAGAGTGAAAAATGTCTCGTTTAATCCACTTACGGTATGTGAATGAAAAAAGTAAATGAATATTAACCCATTGAGTGTTGCTTTCAGTTGTGTTTTGGCTCTTCTGATTTGCCTAACAGGCACCATCAGTGCTAGTCCCATACCCGACGATCATGACCGCTTGCTGCAACTCTTGGCTAATGCAAATTCTGCAGATGATGCCGAGCTACTGCAGAGCACCACAGATGCAATTGCTCTGTACAAGAAGTATGCTCATTCCACACCCGATGGACAGGACGACGATTTGGATCGGGAAGTAAGAAAATTTGAGGCTGAGAACATTACGGTGGACGGTGTGCCTATTCAGGGCGGATTTTGGTCATCTATAAGAAGTGCGGCAGATAAAGTACCCCAAGAAGTCAAGGACCAGGCCAAGGAACTAGCTAAACAGTCAGCCAAAGCTCTGTTCAACAAACTGACAGAATATCTTAAAGCAAAATTTGCATCGAAATAAAATATCTTCCAAAGCCAGAGACAAACTCTAATTTTAGTGCCCAATTATTATGCTGGAAATTAGTTTAGGGGCAACTGCAGTCGAGCTGCAAGGCCATAAATGGTGAAACAATTACAAGAGCCATATCTATAACGATAATGATGATGGCAGCGTTTATGGCCATTAAATGTAAATCAATAACAACCAGACAAGCTCTGGCCAGGCATGAGCTCGATAAATGGCCCCAACGGGCTGCAATTAGATTTATGTGTACGCATGCAGGCTATCTATGTTCCATCCACATCCACCCACAACTCACATTGTCTATTATCTCCCGCAGCATGCCATTCCATTCACCGGTTTTGGGGTCCAGGCCACCGTATTTGTTGTCCGGCTGCAGGCGGAAGGTGTAGCTGAAGCCCAGCTTCTTGGAGAGTTCATCGATGAGCTCGATGCCAAAGCCCTCGAACTGATCGTTGCCCTCCAGCTTCTCGGAGGTCTCCTTTAGCATGCCATAGGGTTCGCTCTGTGCCAAAGAAAGCCAAAAGCCATCAGGTCAGCGTGTGCCCGAGAAGCCTCCTACAAACCCACACTCACGATGGCCGTGACAACGATGAAACTTTTGTTCACCAGCGAACGCATATCCGGCTCTAAGGAGAGTGCCGGAGCAGGGCGATTTGCCTGGAAGCCATCCTCGCCACTCCACAGTCCAATTTTCTGCATGCCCGACACTGCCAGCTCGATGACCTCCAGCTGGAAATCCGTGCGTAGTCCCTCGTAGTCAAAGCGAATGGGACCCGTGAGGCCGTTCAGCGTTAGCTGCGGGAAGAGACCAAGAGACTTGCCTGAGTTGTTCCGATTTGACCCACACCCGGCGAGTGCCTCACCGACTTCATGTAGTTGACGAGTGTGTAGCCCTTATCCCAGGCGCTGTCATCGCCACAGCTCAGGGGCACGGGCCGGAAGTTCACATGCTTGTAGGTCTCGGCCAGCAGTTGGACGCCATCGTAGACCAGGGCCATGCTGTTGGTCAGAGGGCACGACACTGCGCAGTGTCAGATAGGAGAGAGAGAGAGAAAAGAGGAGAGAGGCGAGAAAGAGTCATAAAGGATAACGTCATTCATCATTTTACTCCCCAGTCCCAGCAGAGGGGCATGGGGCAATGCAATTCAATTATTTAAATTCACTCATGCGAATAGATTTCAGATTTGCATAAATTGTCTCGAGTCCTGGGAGCTGTGTGAGTGCTGTGCAGGTGATTTACCGTTTTGGAATGGCTCCTCGCTCTCGTACAGTGCCTTGGCGACATCCTGCACCTGCTCGTTGTCGGGCGAGACGAGGCGCAGACCCGTGATATTGGTGCCGGCATGCTGAAAGGGCTCCAGGTCCATGGTGTGCCAGTCGAGGTTCCCAATCATATAGCGATAGTCGCTGGTCACCAGACCCACCTGCTGTGCCTGCTTGAAGAACTCGGGCAGCGTGCCCATCGAACCCACCACCACGAGCGAGTAATCGTCCGCATTGCGTATACGCCGCAGGACGTTGCGGTAGTTCCCATTAAGATCCAGCTCGTAGCGGCGCACTGTGATGGTGGGCCCAGCCGTGCCGTACATCTGCAGCAGCTCCTTCACGGTGGCCAGATACTCGCCAGACTCGTAGACAATCGTGAAGCTCTCCCAGCCCAAGGCCATCACCATGTCCTTCAGGGCAACGCTCATGGTTGCCGGATGTGGGTGCAGGTTGATGGTCGGCAGCTGGGCATCAAAGTCCGAGCGGGTGTCCAGAAACGGCAGCTCCTTGGCATCGCAGATGCTCATGGCATGACGGGCAGCTAGGTTGGTCGTCGGTCCAAACACGGCCACGAGGTTTTGCTTTATGCACGAAATGGAAGTTGTATTAAGGATTACAGCAAGCAGTCTTTGGGGACTCACCCTCAGCATTCTGCATAGCTTCTTGGAGGTTTCGAAGGAGTTGCCCGGCTCAATGGCCACGGCCACGCCATGCAGCTGCATCTCCTCATTCTCCTCGTTCGCTCTGCTAATGGCCAAGTGGAAGATTTTCTCTAGATCGGGTTCGGTGTTCTCATAGATGAGACCTGCAAATGAACGCATAATGAGAGAGGGTGCCAGCATTTTTCGCTCTTTGTTTTGCTAGCCGAGTTCTGTTTATATTTTTCTTGGTCTTTGCCAATTCGCCACCAATGGCCAATGGCATGCGGCATAAAAATACATGCCACAGAATGTGCGGCACATTTGCATGCCACACAGAACAGCGATTTGCTGCTTATATAATGAATATGCACCCACCAACATTTGTCCGCTCTGACCGGCAGTCCTGCACGACCAACAGCAAAAACTGAAACAAACACAATGAGAAGACGCGGTATCCTGCTCCTGACAGCCACATCCTGTTTAGCATCTGTCTTTCGCACTATTAATTGCAATCAAAAATGCATAAATACTGTATGCACTTTGTTCGGCAATGAATTCCGCACTTATTTGGAGTTAATTGCGCGATTGGTCAACGTTTTTCTTGGCCCGCACTAAATTTACATATTTTCTGCAGTCTGCCTGTCGTCTGCCTCGAATGGTAAATTGGAATGGGACTGAGAATTGCCAAGCCATTTGCTGCTGCTCTTTCTGGGTCGTCTTCTTCTGCTAACAGCTGATGCCGATGAATTCGCCTCGAATATTTATAGCCTGCGAGTCGCATGGGTTTTTGCTTCATTAATGAAAATGTTCTCGCTTTTCAAGTGCTCAAGTTCCATAATTGAATCACACTCGTACGTTTACTTCATTGAACAACTTTTGCGCGATTTAATTAGACGAACTTCAGCTTTTTAGCGCCAATTAAAGAAGGATGCCCCATCGTAGTTTCTCAAGGGACGAGCCACACAGAAAGTCCGACGGTGCATAAAGTGCAGATGCTTGAAAATAAATTCACCAGATAAATGGAACGTGTGCATCGCACAATTGTACGGCCAATGGGTCAGGATCAGGGGGAAAGTAGCTGCACTGGGTTGGTGGGGATGGGAGTTTAAGAAAACAACGATAAATACACCGAAAAAGAAAACAAAAACAGCCAACAGAGAGCAGTGAGCAGTGAGTGGGGGAGCACGAAAGAAAGAGATTGAAAACAGCTTTCTGCGAAATTTGTTTCGGCTCCCATGGGTGTGCAACAAGCGTCGATAAGTGCAGCCAGAGCGCCGAAAGGGAGCCAGCAGTGGAGTGGAAAGAAAAGCGACTGAATGGATGCTGTGAGGGGTGTGCCCGAGTGTCTGCCCCACAATGGATGGTAAACAAATTAATTTCATTTTTGCATTGGGTGTTTCTGGTTGTAAAACACTTTGTCAGGGCCGTGCAATTGCAGCCGAATGTTGCTGCTGTTGCCTCTATGGCTCCTGCCCCACTCTTTGATTTTGAAGGTCCAACAAGATTTATGGGGCAGGCTTTGAATAATCCATTTAGAGCATGTAAAGCCATGGTAGAGCGCGAACATCTCTTATTTTTAATAATGATGGTAAGGCAAAATGTGAAAAATGTGAAAAATTGCTGCAGCCAGGCGACTTTTATAGACACACGCGCAAGCATGCTGCCGGAAGGTTTTTATGTTTCCACTTTCGGGCATGTCCTTCACACACACACACACACACACACAGTGAGTGAGCGGGAGGGAGTGTTGGCTAGTAGCAAACTGTTGCTGTCAGCCGTAAAACAAATCAACGTCAAAGGCAAGCAAGCCAGCACCCGGACCTGACTCTATTCCGTGATGCAGCTATGTATCTTCACCTGCTCCCAGCACGCCTTTCGCCCGAAGCTTCTGCTGTGGACGATGTGCTGTGATGAATGGGTTAGGGTATTCCATGGACGACACACACACCAGCCAGTCGGCCAGCCTCCTTGTGGTGTTAAATTGCCCAGCAGCTAGCTTGCTGCTCTTCTTTGCATTTACATAACGCCACGCCAGGCGTCAATGTATGTGTCTTGAGAATACGCACGCTGGCGCTCTCAGCATGCCTGAGCGTGCATTCTCTGCTAGGCAAATAGCTGACATTATGCACACGCATACCACCACGAACACGAACACGAACACCAAAACAAATATCCACATAAGCAGAGGCAGTTGCATGCAACATTTGCATTTGCATAAGTACTTGGTTTAGGGTCCTTAAGCCACCGCCACCGCCGCCAGCTGTACGCAATTAGCAGTGGAAGAAGCCATTTGTAAATCCATTTGGGGCACGCACGCAGATGCCGGCAGCTATCAAACATTTGGCCAATCAATAATCCAAGTTCCCTTTTAAAGGTCAACGATGAAACGTGAATTTTAGATATTGTTTCTATAATTGTTACCAAAATTCCATTATATTTATTCATAAACATTTTATTTTTCCCGTTTTTATTCCATGAACTCAATTTCTGCGAAAAATAATCTGAGCTTGGTGCCAGTAGTCAGAGCAGTCAGAGCAGTCAGAGCCACATTTAATTGACATTTAGCTATCAGCACAAACAAATTTATTTCCTTTCTCAGAACTCATGCTTAATTCGTGCTAATTTGCCACGCTCTGCCGGCTATTGATTAAGAATAATAATTCACTTAATTGCTCATTCCTGGAATCGAAACCTTATCATGTGGTTCTGAATTTCCCTATCTCGGGTTGCCGTTGGTCAATCTAGACTACCTCAACCTATGCACACATTTGATAGGACAATGAAATCAAAGTTCATTGACTCTGATAGAGTCAAGTTTTCCCCCAACATATTTGCGATTAATTCATGATGTTAATTTACTTAACCATTCAGGATCAAATACTTAGCATTTAGTGGCTGAAAAGATTATTCAAATGGGCTATTGTGGTTGATTGAGAGAAGATTAATAGTTGCCGCAGGCAGTGAAACAAAATTGACTGTAAAATGGGTTTACAGCCAGATAAATTCAAATAATCTTGGATAGGATTCAGGCATCGAAATAGCTGCTTCAATGCACAATACCCTCTGCAATGGCAGACAACCAACTGAAGCATAGTATCAGAATTCTGTAACATATTTGAAAAGAATGCATTTTCGACTTCAAATAATATATTCTCCTGATTCTGCACCCCCTTGTGTGTCCACCAGTTGAACACAGACTCAAACCACTCCCAGTACCAGTTCCTGGAGCTTAAAGTAGAAGCTGGATTCAACAAATAATAACATCGTTGTCTTTATATATGAATGCTCAGTGTATTTTAATATAGTTTCACAAAAATAAGCTCAGCAGATTACATTGATTTAGTCCTGAACATGTAACTGGCCACGAGAAAAACCAAGCCGAAAATGGCGACCTCTTTGTTGATTTCCAATCCCTTTGAAGACGATTTGGCATGTTCGACTGCCACGCCCACTGCTTGAATTGCTCCCTCCACCAGGACATGCCTCAGAAGAGAGGATTTCCAGCCACCGTTAGCTGGAACTCCATCGATGAGCACTTCAGCACTATTTATGCGTTTGTGCTTCTCCAAGAGCTCAGCAACACGCTGTCTTTCATCTTCGGGCAGATGAATATCATCAGAATGCTGCTCGTAGAACTTGGCAAGACTGTCCAGATTTCGCTCCTTTGTGGCATTGTCCACCGCAGGATTGTTGTAGATGTCAATAAAGCGACGTGCCTCGATCGAGAACTCGCCATCATCTTGAGCACACCCAAAAGACACCAGGCACAGAAGGACAGCCATCAGGGAACTAAGGGAGAAACATTTAATTAAATTAAGTTTACTTTGTTGTTGCTCCACTACAAGTTTTACTTACACTAGACGGATTGAGCTGGCCATTGTTTTGTATGGTTGTCGAGTAGTTGTCGAGCTCACGCTGCAAACTGAAATAACATTTTCATGCAGGCGGCACATCAATTTATATTGGCTGGCTCTGTCAATTCTTATCTCTTAAAACATTCGGTTGGAAATGCATTTATTTTTCTTTTTTACACAGAGAGATTTCTTGCGATTTCCAGGGCAGAATGCGTAATCTGTTTTCTGGGCTTTCCAAGAATGAAAACTTTACCCCGTAATCCAGGGTTAGACAGATCATGCACTCTAGTAGCTAACAATGTACGAATGTACATATATGTATGTACGTACATACATATGTATTTATATACATCTGCGAATGCCTTAGTTTTAATAAACAATATTTTGCTTACATATTTACATACGTTTGGTCTTCGAGCGACAAACTTCGATGTTTTAAAACAAAATAGAGCCAAAACTTTATGCCGTATATAGCTGACTTAAGAATGATCTACGAGGAGCGCCATTCAACGTGCCAAAAGTATTGGCAAAATATTTTAAAAATGTTTTAAAATTGGTATTCATGTTCTTTATAATTTGTAAGCAAGCAAATGTCTTCCAAAGGCTTCTTGTTTCGAGAGTTATAAAAATACGTATTTTAAATGATTTGTGTTTAAATGTGCAACTATTTAAGCAGATACAAATTGATTTATTAGCAGCCTTAATAAAGGATTAACGATTGCCTACCAAAGGAAAGCACTCACAGGCATTTGAATGAGCTCAAAAGAGAATTAAATTCGATTATTTGCATTATTTCTTTATTTGTTCATGAACAAATTCATTAAAAAACGTTTTATGCAATAACATTTTGAATATGGTTAGAATATAGAGACGTCATTAAAAGTGTAGCAAATATTTAAAAATATTTATTTTATTCTTTGGCTGTGGGCTCAAATTGTTTTAGGCGTCGTTGTATCTTGGTTGATGAGTCTAAAGATGAGTTTGGCCATCAAGTTGCCAACCGTTGTGGACAGAAGGGAACCAACCCAACCCCCTTGAGCTGGAACTCCATCCACCAATTTCGAATTGGACTCAGTGTATTTGCCAATGAACTCATCGAATTGTCGTCTATCCTCATCGGGCAGCTGGATGCGATCCGAGTGGTGCGTATAAAAATCGATTAGTGTTGGAATATTCCTTTCCCTGGTAGCGGCATCTACTGCAGGATTATTATATATTTCGAGTATCTGGATCTTTTCGGCCTCGTATCGAGCATCGTGTTGCTGCGCATTGGCGGAGCACACCAGACACACGATCAGGAACAGCGGAACCCTCATTGCTAGACTGAATCGCTGCTTAAACTCACGATTCAATTTATAGCTGCTAATGGATGAGATTAGCTATCTCTTAGTGTAATCATTTATTATAAGCAGTGCCTTTCCGCTGCACCGACAACTGATAATTGTAAATGACTCATTAAATCAATTGCAATTTTGATCAAATATGTTGCAGCTTAGCAGCAGGGAACGAGTCTGTCAATGGATGGGGAGCTGATTGCTGATTTGATTTGATTTGATTTGTTTTGGCATTCTGGTATTCTGGGCCATGCCAATTTAGACAAGCGCCAGGTCGATTTGCCATTTGCTGTTTGCGCTGTCAATGGCAATGCGCACAAATCATTTCAGTCAAATCAAATGCACAATTGGCACTGGGAGCCATGATTGACAAATGTTGACCTTGAGTGGTGCTAAAAGTTTATTTTAGGGATTTCGATGTGTACTCTGGCTGCATGCCATTGCAAAATGGGTGGTTTGGGGGGTGGCTTAAGTAAAGAAGAGAATTGACTTTTACCTATCTCAAGGGGAAGTCTCGCTTTAAGATTTCTTTGGCTCGTGCAACCCTTTCGACAAAACGTTCAGACAAACAAACCCAAAAATAGCATGCAAACGGCTTTCGGTGAGCGAAGGGCGCGACAATTTGGCGCGTTGTCAAAACAAAGTGCTCCTGCACACACACACACACACACAGCAGGGACACAGTTGCTGCTAAATGTATGTGTAGAGGCTGCCAGACAAAATCAATTTGAACTGCGGCAGCCAGGCTGACAAACAAGGAGTCAGCACAGCACAGCACAGGGGAGCACCCACAAGAGAGCAAAGCAATCACAATCTGAGCACCCTCCATTCCTCTCTTTACCTCAGAGACACACACACACACACACACAGACAGATGCAGGCAACGCGTAATGGCGCGTAAAGTGTTGCGCCATCTTAGTGCGTGCCAAAAACCACAAACCTCATGGCCGCGACAGTCGCTTGGACGGGCGTAGGCAGGGCAGGGCAGGCGTCTGATAAGGAAGCGCATTAGGCAGCAAGTGAAAGAGAGGGAATGACAGAGAGAGAGAGAGAGAGAGAGAGAGACCACATCAGGAACCGGAAATGAGTCGAGCAAGCTGGCGAGATGGGCAAACAAGTACAGACATGGGGCAGGGCACCGCAAAAGGGGTTTGGGTGAGTTGAACGGACTTGCTGCCAGGCCCAACTCTCTCTTCATTGCAATTAGCATTGGGCTCGCGTGCATTGGTGTGTATCTCCCACTCTCTGCCACTTCAAGGGGATAACAGGCCAGTCAGAAAGAGAGAGAGAGAGAGATAGAGAGAGAGAGAGAGAGAGAGAGAGCGTAGGCTAACGAGCTGCGTATGAGACTGAGCCAGGAATTCGCTGTGCCTCTTGTTGTTGATTCACTTGCAGCGAGACTTACGCACAAAGTTGCCTGCCTGCCTATGAACAGGGCTCATGAAATGTTAACAGCAAACAGGTGAGCTGCAGGAAACGAGGCCCTTGGTGGCCCATTTGGCACGAGGCCAAAACTAGCCCAGGCAGCCCAACCAGTTGCATTGTCAGAGGCACTGCGCGCTGGGGTGCTCTGGTGCTGTGCTGCTGGGCTGCCTGCTGTGGCATGTTAATGTCAGTGTCACGGTGTCAAATTGTCAGCGCCTGTTGCCACTGTGACCCTGCTGCTGCCGCCACGACCAAAAATAAGAGAAACAGAATAGTTGGCATGCCGAGCCATGAACTACGAGAGTGTGTGTGTGTGTGTACGACGCCTTAAAGTATGCCGCACACAAAAATTAGTTGTGGCAGGGACGTGAACTTTGCTCGGGTGAAAATCTTCAAAAAATGAACACACTCTACGTACGCGGAATTCGAATGTTCTGGCAGTGGGATGCCCTCAAAGGGCATCTGCAAGCATCTCCAGCAGGAAGCAAGCAAGTCGTACCTGCTGCCAGCTAAGGCAGAGACACTGAATCGGAGAACGGTAATCCAGCATATTGGTCATTAAGCATACGCCCTGAAGACCCACGTAAACCCTCATCAAATTAATAACTTTTGAGCGGGAGAGCAACCCTTCCCACGCATATGCCACAAATATCCGTGCACATTTTTTTAATTTAACCACTTGTTAAACAATAATATCCAATTTCAAAACAAACGCAGCGAGTGCGCAGGCCAGAAGAGAGACAGAGAAGAGAAGAACAGGGCTCCCTCTCTCGCTCTCTCTTTGAGATGTTTCCACAATGCATACACACAAATGTACACCAACACCAACGGGCGAGTGAAAAGTGGCAGAGGCCGCACAGCTCAGAAGTTTGGCCAGGAGCAGGTCCATCCCACAGTTCGACACGAGAGCTGAGCGAGTGCGGACGCGTGCAGCGGCTAACAAGCGAAATAAAACACATTGAGAGAGGGCTGTAAACAGTGCTGTAAACAAAACAAAAACTGTGTGAACTTGAGAGAACTGTGGGTGGAGTGTACGTGCCTGCCATATGCGTCTTTGGTGGCTGCGCGAAGGTGCCACAGATTAATTAGCAATTAACGCTCACCCACTGCAATAAGCGACGGCCGACAACCGACGACCGACACTCCACAGGCCGCAGTATGTCCGAAATTATTGAACTAAATGTTGGCGGTGTCAGCTACACGACCACGCTGTCCACGCTGCTGCAGGACAAGTCCTCGCTGCTGCACGAGCTCTTCAGCGGCGAGGGGCGCGAGTCGCTGGCCAAGGACAGCAAGGGGCGCTACTTCCTCGACCGCGACGGCGTCCTCTTCCGTTACATCCTGGACTATTTGCGCGATAAGGCGATGAATCTGCCAGAGGGCTTCCGCGAACGGCAGCGCCTGCAGCGGGAGGCGGAGCACTTCAAGCTCACCGCCATGCTGGACTGCATACGTGGGGAGCGGGACGCCCGTCCGCCCGGCTGCATCACCATTGGTTATCGGGGCAGCTTTCAGTTCGGCAAGGACGGCCTCGCTGATGTCAAGTTCCGCAAACTGTCCCGCATCCTGGTCTGCGGCCGTGTGGCCCAGTGCCGCGAGATCTTCGGCGACACGCTAAACGAGTCACGGGATCCCGACCATGGCGGACCCGACCGCTACACCTCGCGCTTCTTCCTGAAGCACTGCTTCATCGAGCAGGCCTTTGACAATCTGCACGATCATGGATATCGTTTAGCCGGCAGCTGCGGCTCGGGGACGGCTGGCTCGGCCGCGGAGCCCAAGCCGGGCGTGGACACGGAGGAGAACCGCTGGAACCACTACAATGAGTTTGTCTTCATCCGGGATTAGGGCCATCAGCCGACTATGCCCCCTACGTTAAGCCCGCAGCCCCACCAGCCCCCACCCAAGCAGCTGTCTCTATCCTTCAGTGTTTCGTTATGTCCTGCATTCTGCTGAGGCCCACAGGCAACGACTCAACAACAAGAACAACCAACAGCTGACATCGACAGCGACATCGACATCGACATCCTGTCGTACTTGCGACCTTGTTCTGCCTGCCTCGTCAGTCTTACGCTTTAATGAGCATCCATTATGCGCATAGGAGATCATAAATTGGACAGCAACGAACAGTGGGTGAGCAGAGCAAAGCCAAGGAGAATCCAAAGGTTTGAGTTTCAACCCACCTCTCGATATACTTACTATACAAATGGGAACATTTCAAATGTACAATTGAACCAACACAATCCACAACACCTACCCCTAAGCCTAGACAATTATTTAGAAAAACTTTATCTTCCTTTCTTCGATTTGCCTGCTAATTAAATGCGAGTTACACTCTTAATGTCCGGGGGAGCGGGAGAGACCCATCAAATTTGATATGTTGAGCTGCTGCGCATAAATTTCGCTGATGAATGAAGACGAATTTGGATTTACGAGCAGACAACAAAGTGAAAATGAATTGGCAGCGGCAGCGGCAGAGAGCGGGCAGCAGATACGCAGCAACAAATCGAACATTTTATTAGCCCCAAAATCCGTTAATGCATTGCAGAATAAACAAAACGAGTGGAATACATAAAACAGAATCGAAGAATGGAAGTGAAATGAGATAAGAAACAGAGAACGAACCACAGACAGTAGACCATAAAGTAGGGAATATTCGAATAAATGGTCATTTAGTTACTTAAACAAACAAACTCAAGCCACACTGAACAACAATTTGAACAATACGGGTTACTCTCTCTCTCTCTCTCTCTGAAACTAACGAAATATTGTAGGAACAGAAGACACAAATAAAACAACAAAACTCAAGCTCCAGTACCGCGGAGCGTACAATGGTAACAAAAAATGGTAAATTTAAAGTTTTATTAGCCTAATAAATGTCGAAACTTGGAAAAACAACATAAATACTATAGATATCTGTATACATAGCGGCAAAGGATAAAGGCAGAAAACATCTGGCGCCCAAATATGAAGGCCCAAGCAGAAAGCCAAACCCAATACATAAAACTCAAACGCAAATCGATATTAGAAGCATATTTATAATACAAATATTATACAAGGGCTGTCACAGGACAGACTCTTTGGCAACAAAAAGTTATCCAAAGTGTTTCCGATTTCCGGAATGCACCGAATAAATCAACCAAAAATGTGGACATATTCGAATGGATGACAGCTACAGAGAACGACCAGCAGCATAGAGCACTTTCTGGTTAAACGAAACATTCGTTGGCTCATTTTTGTTGCTGGAACTACCACTCTGACAACGAGGAGTATTAAATGTCAGGCAAAGGCATTTTCATGGGTGTGATTGTCATATGAGATGCTTTTGAAACACCACCACCACTTCGATTTATTGGTGAAATGTAATGAGAGATGCCAAAAACAAATGGACACGAAGTACTTCCAAAAACCAATGGGAATACAACACATTTTACCCAATACAATTTGCTGAACATTAGAGAGCCCCTCTTCATTGATTTGAGAGCTGCTTCAACAGACTCATTGAAATATATATTCCGCTGACATATCTCGCATTGCATTTTCCCCCTCTTTGGTTTGTTGTTGATCTCATTTCCATCTGCTCCAATATTTGTTAAATGATGCGCCCGGCGGTGAACTCCAATGAAAACAGCGGGGCGCATCGAATAAAATTGAAGCACACACAAAATAAATACGCGAACAAATTGTATAAAAATACGAGAATAAATTGTTTAAAAATCGAATTGCATATGCACGTACAATGTAATCGTAAACAATAGCTTGGGCATATGCATGAGCAAACTATCGAGCTGCATTATACATACATACACTAATGACGAGGCTCACACAGATGTTATGAATCAATATACACATATATACATACATATATATCTATACATATACCTAATTATATATTAAAACAATTGTCGATATTGAAAGTATCTTATAAATGTTTAGTATTATATGTAATTGGATCCAAGTCGAGAACATGAGATGGGACGGAAATGTACGAGTATTGTATTATTAATTGAATTAAAAACTAAAACTAAAGCTAATTTAAACTAAACTAAACCGAATGTAAAATGTATTTAGAAAAGCGCAAACAGGAAAACTGCTAAAATAGCCTATAAAGTGCGACTATGAAGCAAGATATGTACATATGTATGTACAAGTATGTATGTATGTAAAAAGGTATAACTTGCAACAGGCGAAAAACAACAATAAATTAAAGAAAACAAAGAAAACGTAGGATTGTTTTATGTATTGCATGTGGTGTGGGCTACTGGGATGTGAACCCCGTAAACTTATATTACGTTCTCTGGCATTGTGGCATAAATCGCACAACTCTCTGACATTGACTGCGGGTAAATAAAATATATAGACTTACGGCTCACGACAGCTCATTAAAATTGACGAGCATACAAATAAAACACAAAACACAACAATGTAAACAAAATCGTAAAAGAATCAAATATACATTTGAAATAAACACAGCGAAAAGTCGGCAAACAATGGCAAACAAAAGTTTTTGCGGCCAACAAGGCAAACAAACATCGGTCTCAAAACGTTGGCTGGGGAACAAAGCCGAGTGTATAAATAGCTAAAAGTCAAAGAAATGAATAGAGGCGACCATTAAAGAGACAGCAACAATTCCGCATTTGTTTAAATTCAAAGCGGGCAACAGTCATTTCTGCGCGGCGGTAGATCTGCTGTCAGAGGTCCTGAACAGTCAGCGGCAAGGGAAGGGCGAGGGGAAAGGCAAGGCAGAGAAATGTTGAAATTAAAAGGGAAAATGCTTTCTTGCTGTTTTTTGCCATTTTCTTTATTTTGTGTTTGTGCGTGTTGAAGTGCGCTCCAGAGCCAGAAAGGTACACATACCAATAAAGGAATCAGGCAAAGGGAAAACGAAAGCGAAAGCGAAAGCAAAAAAAGGCCTGACGAAAGTTGGCGCCAATGGGAAATGCACTGCCTTAATGGAGCCCACCCACACAGGCGCACAGGGCGAACACTGGGCGCTGTTCGCCATCTGCATACTAAGCAACAAGAAAAATATTCTTTTGCGTTAGCGAGGGGGAACGAGACAGTGATAGAGAGTGGTCGGATATTGACTGTACGGCCGTAAGATGTACACAATATGCAAAGTGTGGGTTTCGGATAAGGTAAGTCAGTAAGAATCCACTCCACAGCACACACTCCACATACATTCAGTTCCAGGAAGACCGAATTTTGGTATCTGCTGTGCGCATATAAATTACAGAGCTAATACTTCCAAGCTTCCGCACCCAGCCTACCAATTCCACTTTTACTCCCACGAGGCACCAGTCTACTCTAACTATGAACAGACGATGCGATACCCGCTACTAAGGATACGGATAATGGAAAACCCTTCTCGATTTGCTACAAATAACTAACAGATCGGGACAACTTTTTCTTTGAAGTCTTCCTCCCACTGTTACATACTTTTCCGTGAATACATCATACCCTTGTGGGTTACACATACGAAGTGTTTCGAGTCGGGGCCTTCCTGGGTGTGTGTTGTGAGCTTCTGACAGCAGGGAAATGAAATGATGCCTTTATGTCTCTTACGGTAAATTACCTTGATTTGATTTCGCCATAGCGAAGTTGGCCCCGTCTGATTAACATTTCCTCTCTGTGCGCCGCCGAGTCATCGTCATCATCATTTGCAGCAACAAAAGTGCCTCGAAAAGCGCCCGCACCCGCCGCTGGCACTGGCACCAGCACCCTGTCAGTTTCAATTAGTTTCAACTGGATGAGAAGAGCGGCCCTCAACTGAGTGGGTACACACGGGTTGGGCGCCATCAAATAAAAAGGCGCAAGGCGTCTCCACCGAACTTGTCGCCTGGGTGCCTTATTAATTCATAAATTTCGCATAGGTCGAGGCAGGATGCTTTAAATATATTTAATTTCATTAAATGGCGACGCATCGAAGAATGCCAGCACTTGCAGCTCGTGTGGTTACCCAGATCCGTCGCTTTGTCTCCACGTCGGTCCTTTTGAAATGTGTGGCATGCTTTACCGGGGCACAATTAACACATCAATTTCCATGGCTGAGGCAGGAAGGCAGGCGCTTAGCGTGCGTGAGCATTTAATTAAGAGCCCAGTCGGTGGTGGAGTGGTCCCAATCATGGCATGAGCTATAGCATGATCTGATCACCTACTCGTCTTAATCTTCTGTTAAGGGATTGCCTTGCCCTGTCGCCCAGAGTAGTATTTATGTTAAAATACACCAATTCGGAGTATGTATCGATAGCTGTCATTTTTTTTGGCAATTACTGTTTGGTATTGTACTTGGTATTTAACAGAATAAGTTTCGGATAAGTTTTTTTGAAACATAAATACTTTTAGTACAAAAAAAGCATTCATCTGGCAAGATGGCAAGTCAATTTTTTCCAAGAAGCAACTTAAGGTTGATATAGGTCTATTAAACTGTTATTTCCCTTCAAAAGACGAGAAGTTTTGTTGAATGTTTCATTGTTGTTTCCAGTTCCAATGTTGAACGACAAATGGGGCTAATCTTTGCCACTTCAGATTGTCAGACATCGGCAAGTCCTTGGAAGCAGCGTACGAGTTTCTGCTCTTTCGCGATCACATAATCTAGAGGCATTGACAGTAGATTCCATGGTCAATCTTTGATTGGGTAAGATACTGGTTTCCATCTTCGTAATTTGCTTAAATGTATTGTTATTTCCGCTCTTTATGGCGCCACAAGCATTTGTTTGAATTTCCCACCAAAACAAACAGGAACCGCACACACACCGAGGTGTTGGGTCATATGTTCATATGTAAGTACGTCCGTACATATTGTATGTAGTAAGTATGTGGTATGTACATAATCATTGCACGTTCTCCATATGCTCACATCCACACAAATGCAAAGACATAATGACCGCATCATTCACCATACAGAGCCCCGAAACCCTATTTACAACTCGTATTTGCCGTTAGTTTTAAAGGCCCAAACGTGCGCAACGCCCTGCCCTGCCCTGCACTGCGTGTGCGAGTGGGCAGTCATAAAATAACAGTTGGGGCCAGCCCAGAAGAGGGCTCAAGAAGTAGTTAGGTATGCCCTTGACGCAATGTGCTTTCCTGCGGCCCCAAATGGCAAGCTTATTACTAACCCACTGAACCCTTAATCAACCCCCCCAGAAATACTACATTATGGGAGGGTTCTTGAGGACCAGCAATAGAAAAAAAAACTACATCTGAGTGTTCTAAAGGCAGTAATGAAAAATGTACATAATAGTTAACCCTCATATTTAAATAATATTTAAAAGAAAAAGAAAAAAAGAAGTGAAACTAGTTAAAGTTTTCGAACTTGCCTCCTGTGAGGGTTGAACTCACGGCCTTTGGTTTACGAGACCAACGCTCTACCACTGAGCTAAAGAGGCACTGCGAAGAGCGGCGCCAAATGCCTTATATCACCCACCCCGCTCGGCGCTACGGGTAAATGAAGAGAGAATGAGCGAGCACTGAGAGATTCTTTATCAAACAGATCGTGACTCATCGTATGAGCAGCGTGAGAAAATGTAAGGAAATTTACTAAAATGCGTTTCAGGAAAATTTAGAAAAACAGATGAGAAGA